CCTGTCCGCCTCTTGCCCTAATCCGCCTCCTCCAGGTCCTCTCCCGCTGTGGCAGCTTCTAGAGCCGCCAGGGCTTCAGCCACTGCTGCATCCTCGTCCCCCAGGTCCCCCATGTCACCTCCGCCGACACCCTCCCGCCCGGGTCCTTGACGGCCCGCAGACGCAGGCGGGGCGCAGGCAGGCCTGTCCTCCCCGAAGCACAGCCTTGCCACCCTGGGGCCCGCGGGCTGGGGACAGGGGTCGCAGCTTTCTTTCCTCCCGGGCGCGGCCAGGACCCGAGGACATCTTCTCTCCAGCTGGCCCTCCATAGCGGGGTCTTGCGTCGTGTGGTCCCCCAAAAGACAGCCGCTTTCTTCGCGGTCCGCGATGGCTGGGGCCGAGGATTCCAGTGGAGGGTAATCGGGGGCCGGTAACTGGAAGACGTGGTCGGGCAGGTCCGCGTCCCCGGCGGGACTGTCCATCTCCGAGGGGGCTCTGGCGTCTCCGCTGGCGGTGACAGGAGGCTCTTCCGAAGCCGGCCATGTGTCACTCCACGCGTCCCCTCCTTCAAGGGCCAGCAAAGCCGGATGGACATCGTGGGCGCTACTGGCCAGGGAGCCTCTGCCCTGGGGCGCGACCCAGGGATCCCCAGACGGCTGCAGGGTGGCTGCGGGGCCAACCCCGTTGACGCCATCAGCCGCCTTCAGCCCCCAGTGGTGCCCCGCTGGGCCCCCCTGAGGGGGAGCTCCTGGGTGCGGGCTGCGGGGCTCCGGGGGACTGGCCGCGGGGCTGCGGCTCCCGGTCCTCCGCACGCCCTCGTTGTGCAGGCCCTGCGTGCGCTCCAGGCCCTCACTGCTCCATTTGTCCTTTAACCGCACTGTGTCCTCGGCGTCCAGCTTGTAGCTGCTTGCTTCGTTGACAAAGCCAGGGGAGGGCACTTGCACGGGGTCGAAGAGATAGCTGCGGGCGAGAACACGGGAGGTCAGCCAGGTTCCGGCAGATGAGCACTACGACTTCCCACCACACACTCTGCTGCTTTCCACGTGTGCGGGGGCATTTATTTCTAGGCGTACTTGCTGAAATCCATGTCTCCCTCCCTCCCATAGGGTCAGTTCTGACTCGTAGCGACCCTAAAGGACAGGACTGTCCGATGGGCTTTGGGCTTTTGAGACGAACTTATCTTTCTCCCGCAGAGAGCTGGTGGTGTGGAACTGCAGCCTAACATGTAAAGTGTATTTAAATGGAATCAAACCCAAAGTCACTGCCATAGAGTTGATTCTGACTCTCGGTGACCTTAAAAGAGCGTAGACCTGCCCCCTGGGGACTTCTGAGCTGCACATCTTTTCAGAAGCAGAAAGGTCCATCGTTCTCCAGAGCGGTTGGTGGGTTTGAGCCACCAACCTTGAGGTCATCAGCCCAACTTGTAAGTCTCTAAGCCACCAGGGCTCCTGCTTTTAAATCAAACAAAGACTCAAAAAACCTCAGCTCACTGCCACCAGCTCCATTCAGACTCACAGCGCCCCTATGGAGAGTTGTGGTCTTTGCAAATCAGGGGAGCAGATGGTTTATTGGTGGCAGAGTGGCTGGTGTTTGAAACAGTGACCTTGTGGCTAGCAGTCCAATGCTTACCTAACAACACTGCCACACGTAATGCAATGATACAATGTATCTCCTAATGTTATATGTATGAATCTGGAATAAAACCAGGAGGTAGAGTTTTCTTTGGAAGGGAGCAAGCTCATCAGTAAATTTTGTTCCTTTGTGCACACTTCTATTGATATCACCATCATTTCCAAAAACGGAAGTATGGAGAAAATGGCACCTGCACATATGGTTGGGCGAGCTACTTCCAGTGCCACAGTGCCATGCTTTCTCAGAACCCTGAGCTCTTCCTGGAGAAACGCCACTCTCACCCCAGCCAAATCCCACCTCTGAGAACCGGGCCAGTCTCCAGGGGCTCCCACACACAAGTGACCAGAGAGCGTTTGCCAATCAAGGTCACACATCCTCTTCCAGAGCGTCAGAGCCGTTCCAAGCTTTGCACCCTCTGCCCGTTCCCACTCATGTTCTGAGCTGGAGGGGGGGGGGGGGGCCCTGAATGATGCATGGCCTTGACAAGGGATTGTTTCCAGGAAGGGGGCCCGACATTACCTTTGTATCATTTTACAGCACCTGCACCCCATCTGGATTCGTCTGTGTGATCATCTGGAAAAGAAAGCGTGACAAGGAGAGAACAGAGTCGGGGGTGTGCTCAGAGGAAGCTCTCCTCCTTTCCCAAGCATTCAAACGAGCTGTCCTTGTTTCTTTCCTGACAGCACGTGGCTGGAGGGGAGACAGGCCATTACTAGGAACTCCGGCTTGATCCAGTCATGAGTCAGAGCTCTCGGATGTTTGTAGCCCCCCCCCTGCCCCCTTTCATGTATCCTGTGTGTTATTTTTGCCCCAGTGGCACAAATGAGGAAAGCTTGGGAGGTTAGGTTGGTGTGGGTGGGGGCTGGCGAGGAGCTGAAGAGAACCTGAGCCAGTTTTGAATTCAGTGTCTCCTAGGGAATGTGGATGGTAGCCCTGCACACAAGCACTACAGAGAAGAGTCGGCGGGGTTCCACCTATGACATGCCTGCTCTCAGCCCTCACCCTTAGAGGACGGACCTCAACCCTGGAGCCTCAGGTTGTTCTCGATCTCTGCTCTCCGCTTCTCCACATCTTTCCCTGGGCATTCATAGATCAGTTGGGTAAGTGAGAGGAACACGAAAGACCTGCTTCTGTCCCACCTCAGGCCCTCCTCCCACTGTCTTAATTACCCCTTTGCCCTCCAACGCCCTGACCCCCAATCCTGCCGCTTCCCACGCTACCTTTCTTGATCCTGGAATTTTTAAAAAACAAACAAATGACAACATATCACGAGGAAATAAACCAGAACTCTTTCCCCTGGAGGCCATTCTGACTTTGAAGAAACCCTTTCTAAGCTGGACTGTTTACTGGGGTCAAAGCCTCAATCTTCCTCGGAGTGGGGGGTGCTTATGAACAGCTGACCTTGCAGTTGGCTGCCAAACGTGTAGCCACTACGCCATCAGCGAGGACAGGTGGCAAACCCAAGCAAACAAAATAGTGAAAGAAATGGGAAAAATTCATTTTTGAAATGTTTGAGAAGCAGGGGGGGGGGGAGCGGTTGTGGATAATAAGATAGTAACTGAAGCAATGTCATATTAATCCATGAAAAAAAATCGCCACTCGATGATAGCGGATTTAGGGTAGGCAGAGCCTGGCAGCTCCGCGGCTGTGGAGACAGACTCCTCGCAGCTCTCAAACCACCACTTCCCTCTGCCCTCGCGCAGCACTCTCACCTCCCCTGTGGCTTTGAGGAAGCGCGCCTTCCCCCAGGAAAACCGCAGGCCCTGTAGCCATGAAATTATAGAAAGGATGTTTTGATAAACTTTTCCCCTTTTAAGATCAAACTTCTAGTTTCTCTTCCTGTCAATACCTGCGGGCATGCTACCTTGACTGGCTGCACACCTGGCCCCATACCAGGGGTGGGGGTGGGGATGGGGACACCTGGCGGCATCTCTCCCAAGCGCAGGACACCTGGCCTCTTCTGGAACTAGCTTGTGCCTCTCACCTGGTTCTTCCTTTCCTTCCATTGACATTCCTTCTCCCAATAAAGTCCATCAAGCAGAGAGAGCCGTTGCCAAGAGTGGGACTGATGCATTTGCTCCCCTGAGTGGCCCCTAGCTACAGTTAGGCTGCCCTGGATATCAGGCCACCCACATTTTGCCTTTAGCAGGGAATTCTCTCTCCAGGTGCAAAAGAGCATGTCCCTCATCCATGTGATGCATGGAAATGAGGGGTGGGGGTGGGGGAAAGAAGACTGCATTTGAAATAGGCAGTTTATCTGATTCCTCCCCTTTATTATTTATTACTTCCCCCCCTCCTACTTTTGACAGCTAGCTTAAAGGAAAGAACTCAGTTGTCGGGTGCCCTTTATTACTGACTGGCATAAAAATTGGCTTTCTCTTTGGAGTATCAAAGAGCAATAGAGAAGCAAAGGGCAAATCTCTCACCACCACCCCCAGTTTACACAAGGGAAAAGCAAATACCATTTGGATGGCTGCGTCCACCCACCTCTGTGTCCTCTGTGGCGGATCGACTCTGCTTGATGTGGTGTGTTAAAGTCAAACAGCCCTGTGTTTGAAGAGCGCTGTGCTAATGCCTGTCAGGGGTGAGGTCTCTTTGCTGGAAAATCCTGTTTCTTGAGGGGAGGAGGGGGTGGGGTTAGGAGGAAGGGGGGGATGGTAGGTGGACAGCAGCTTTCTAAGGAGGCAGAGAAACTGGTGAGGAGTCCTCAGGAAGGCGGATTCCAATCCAGACTCACTGCCATCGAGTGGATTCTGACTCACTAGCAATAGGACAAAGCAGAACTTCCCCGGGTGGGTTTCCCAGACTGTAATGTAACTCTGGGAAGGGAGTAGAAGCCTCCTCTTTCTCCGGTGGAGCAGCTGCTAGTGTGGAACCGCTGGCCGTGCCGTTAGCAGCCCATCACCCACGATGCTAGCAGGGCACTGCATCAGGAAGGCAAGGGAGGACAAGGAAAGACCCACCACATCTGGGGAAAGGCTTCGTGTTTATAGTGAGAACCTCAGAGTCGCAGGGACTGGGCCGAAGGATCTAGGGGTCAGTTTGTAAAGGTCCTACTGGCTAAATCTGGGAACAATTTAAGCATCAACCTAAGTACTGCTCAAGGATTGGAGACTCTGGGTGCAGCCAACAGAGAAGGCTCAGTTTTGAACTGAGTCCACCCCAGGCACGTGGAAGAAAGGCCTGGAGATCAACCTCCCAACCCTCCGGGACACAGGTCTGTGACACACAGGGACTGCCAAGTCAGACGTGACTCAGTGGCAATGGGGGATAACACTGTAAGCCCACTGAGTAAAACGGGAGTTCACAATTCCATGTTGACATCATTAAGGGGAAGGCGAGGAGAAAGCCAGCTGGACAACATCTAAGGAACATTGCCATTAAAGAAGTCCTCATTTCACAACCATCATCATGCCGATGGAGGCTGAGATGGTGGAGTAGTGGGTTATGTGCTGGGCTGCTAACCACCAGGTCAGCCGTTCGAACCCACCAGCCGGGCCCTGGAAACGATAAGACCCTCTGCTCTCATAAAGAGTTATCACCCTGGAAACGCCAAGGGGCAGGTCTTCTCTGTTCCCAGGGCCACTCGGCGTCAGAGCTGACTTGACGGCCGTGAGAGCTGAGAAGGCAGAAGTCATCCATGGACATGAGGACTAGGATGAGAGACAGGAGGCGAATTGGATTTGCACACACCTAAAACGTCTCCCTACCACCTGCTGGTTGGGTAAAATAGCGTCTGTATAGCGGAGAAACCCAGGACCCAGCAACTTCAGCAAATGAGAATGAAGCACCACGGCCTGTAACTCGAGTCATGGGCATGGGCAGCACCCCCCACCCCCCCCACCCCCGATTCAAAGTGGTGGGGAAGGGCTCAGCATCAACTCTGGTTTCCCGGTGCAGAGCGCTGAACCCAAATCTCAGCACGAGGAGACATCGGGAGGGATGGGGGTGGGCTTTTCCGCAAAAATAGCTGCTCTGTACTCTTTAAAAAACATCTCAGGTTAAAGAACAAGGGCTCCCTGGTGGTGGTGTGGTTATGTGTTGGGCTGCGACCCATAGAATGTGATCAGTCCTTTGAAACCACCAGAGGCATCCAGGGAGAAAGATGGGGCTTTCTACGCCCATAGACAGTTACAGCCTTGGGAACGCACCAGGACAGTTCTACCCTGTCCTATAGGATCTCTATGAACCTGCATGGACTTAATGGCAGTGAGTTTGTTTCTTGTTATGAAAAAGCAGTGCGGAGAAACTAGCCCAGACTATAGGAAACTAGAGACTCATGACACCAGACTGTAATGCGTGACGTAAAAAAGAAAATGCTGCTTAATCTTCTCTAACTACGCGGAGGGGAGAAGGAGAATACCATCACCAGCATCAGCTGACCATGGTCCAGTTCCAGGAGGCTGAGGTCAGACACACCCCACTGCCAACCTTCCTACCAAATGTGACCCAAAGGCCCTCCCACAACACTCTACTTTTCACTGCGTTCAAGAACCCATTGCAGTGGCCACATAGACCCCACAGCCAGTACTCATGATTATGAGGTTTAATAGGAAGTTCACGGGTTACAAATGCTCAGGATGCAATCATTTGGGCATGACAACCTTTCATCAGCTGTGGTCACAGACGGACCCCTTGCTGGCATTTGGCCCCTCAGCCGAATGGTGCCTTGGCCTCTGCCCTGTTTGTGCAATGTTACAAAGCTCTTTTGGGTCTGCCAATACATGCCCAAAAGGTGTGCCGCTCCATCATAAGCCTCGGTCCAGAAGCACTCAGCAAACTTATCTCCCGCCTGATTAAGTGCCTTGAGGCACACCTCATGCCAAAAGCCAGCCTTTTGCCTGAAGGCACTCATCTTTCCTGGCTCTCTGGGCTGGGAAGCCCCTCACTCTGTCTCACTGCATGGCTCCGGTTCTGCTGTTCTCCTGTCACTCCTGTTGTCTCAGCTCTCTCCTGAGTGCAAGAGGTTCAATGCACAGGGATCTTGGGGGCCAAAAGATACTCTCTATGCCTAGGTCTTCTCTCTTGCCGGTGGTGAGAGCCTCCCCCCTTTCCTGCTTCTGAGATGGCTCATCTTAGAGCCAGCAGGATGGCAATGGCCATGAACTCTAATAATCACGCACAGCAGAATCATATCATCCGATCAGTATCTCCCCCCACCTTCTTACCTAGACCCATCAGGAAAATGTAGCTTGGCAGGAGTTGCCGAGATTATGGCGAAAAGAGTCATATTAAATAATTGCATTACTAAATAATTGCATTACAGGTGACCCCTGGCTCTTGTAGCCATTGTCCCTTTCATGGATGAATAATTAACTTCCCTCCTTTAATCATTTTTCTGTAAGCACACCCACAAAAGCATGGCAGCCACCCACTTCATGTCTTTACCTCCCACTATTCTAGATAGTGGATTTCTGTTTCCCATCCCTATCAGTCAACTCGCTGAGGAATCCTTGATCTGAAGGATCTCCTGTTCCTATGGGAACTTTGGACATCTGCATCTATAAGCCAAGTTCAGCCCAGAGCAAGCCATCACATTTCAGCCGGGCACACTGCCCGGTGTCTTTTCGCTCTTTATCTGGTCATTTCACCGGCACAGGGGCACCCGCTGCAAGCTTGAGAGTCCACGCACCCCTCCCTGCCCCTTCAGACCAACTTGCCTTCTCATACAATTCCTGAACTGTGGACCAGTCAGCCATTCCTCTCCTCTCAACTCCAGGATCCGTGGACCAGGGCAAACGTGTCCAAACTCAGCCTGCCTCTTCACTGCTGCGTTTCCCCTACTTCCATCCTGTCAACAAGTGGGCCCATGGGGTCCACACAACAAGCACACTCGGCGGTCTGCTCGCTGGCTCCCTGTAACCTTCAGTCCCCAAAGGGCTTTCTCTGATGAGCACAGGCTTTCCCTGCATAGATGCATCAATGGCAAACTGCTTCTTCAAAAATATAAAAGCCAGGTCCCCCCCCCACCACCATTCTCCTCTTCACATGTAAAGTTTCCTGTTCTCTCCACAATTTGGGGTGGGGCTTGGGTTTCCACCGAGCCCCCACCTCCAGAGGCTTCTGTTTTAAAATAAAGTCTGCTCCTTGTGGGTGATTCCTAACTCCCCCTTTAACATCGCCCATCCAGTCTACGCTTACAAGCGCTCTGTAACCACGGTCATCAGGACGTCCATCACACAGGTAGGCCTCTTTTTAATACCAGTAGGAGAAACATTCTATATCCACAGTGTAGTCAGATAAACACATAGCCCTAATTTGCATAATTCCCAAATTCAATCTTCTGTTTTCCACCCATGGACCGGGTCTATTTGTATGCATATGGCCTCTGCACCAATCAATCATCCTGCTTAACCAGCCTCACGTTAACTCCAGGCCACGCCAGAAGCAGCTTTTCTCCCCTCAGCTGAAGCATATAATTTCTGACATTCCTTGTAGCCAGTAATCAGAGTAACCCTCTAAGAATCAAAAGTTTGACTTCTTATGCCCCTCGTTCCCATGCGTCCCATGAATCTGGCGCTGACACAACGACTCCCACTTCTGATGCCTGTAAAGAAGAAAACGATGCTTGGATGGGGAGGAGGAAAATACTGTCCGCAGCATTGGCTGACCAAAGTCCATGTCCAGGAAGGAAGCAGAGATCAGGCATGCCCCACCCTCCTACCTTCCTACCAATTCTGATACCAACGGCCCCTCCCCCAGTGCTCCCTCTCCTTTTCGGCTGGGCTTGATAATTCATTGCAATGGCCACATGGAACACAGAGACAGTACTCGTGCTTTGGGGGCTTATTAAGGAATTTAACAGGTTAAAAATGCTCAGGAAACAACAATTAGTTCCTTCCTAGAGGGACCATCAAAAGTCAGCCCTCTGCTTGACAGCACTCAGCTTTACTGGGACAGCTACAGCCTTGTCACTTGCTCTGGCTAGGTGGACAATCCTGACGCCCTTCTGGTGTCACAGCTGTCTCCTGGATCAAGGAGGTCCAATGTGCAGGGATCTCAGGGGACAAAGGATGTGACCCACTCCTGGCTCTTCTCTCTTGCTGCTAATGAGATCCCCACTCTTCTTGCTTCTGAGATGGTTCATTATATGCCCAACAAGATGGATGACCAGAATTAACCCTGTTACCAATCACTCACAGTTGAATCATATAATCCTCTCAGTGTCTTGTCTACCTTCTGACTCAGACCCATAGGAAAAGGTTGCTTGGTGTGGGTTACAGAGACTATGGCTAGAAGAGCCATATTAAATAATAGTTCATCGCATTGCAATGATCTAGACCCTTTGCGAAAAAGTTCATTATTGGGGCAACTGGTGAAATCTGAATAAGGCCTGCAGATTAGATAGTCATGTGACACCACTTCTAATTTCCTGATTTTGATCATGGTACTGGGTTTATGAAGAAAATAGCCTTGCTTTTAGGAAATGCATGCTGAAGTATGTAGGGATGCAAGGGACATTGTGCTTGTAACATACAGAACCACTTAACAGTGCTCATGAGGAACCCACACGTGGACCAGGAAACAGGGTAAGACCAGGAAACAGGGTAAGACTACATGGCTTCAGATCAGGAATGGTGCATACAGATGGACCATCCTTAGTCTGTGTGCTGAGCAAATCATCGGCAGGTCTCTATGGGCTCTATGACGAGCACACGATCCGGATGGGAAGAAGACTTATAACAAGAGACTGCAGTAGACACAACCTTGTTTGCTGAAAGCCGGAAGGACTTGGAGCACTTACTGCTAAAGATCAAAGACTACAGCCTTCACTATGGATTGCCCCTCAATGTCAAGGAAACCAACATCCTCACAGCTGAGCCAATTAGCCACACCACGATAAACAGACGATTGAAGCTGTTAACTTCCACTCTCGAAGCAGATGGGAGCGATAGTCGGGAAATTAAAGGACATGTTCCACTGGGGAAAATCTGCAGCAAAAGGCTCTTTAAGATGTTGAGAAGCAAAGAGTCACTTTGAGGATTGAGGTGCAAGTGACTCAAGCCATAGTATGTTCAATTGTCTCACATGTGTGCGAAAGCTAGACAATCAATAAGGGAGACCCAAGGCTGGATGCCTTCGAGTTGGTGTTGGTGAAGAAGATTGCATATACCGGGGCCACCTGAACAAGCAAATCTAGTGTGAAAAAGTACTTGGTGCCCCATCAGAATCAACCAGAAAACACTCCTAAAGGTCAACAGACAGACCTGGAACTATTTACAGGCTTTTCTTTTTTCTTTTTTTGCCATTGTTTTTGTTGTTGTTGTTTTGTTTTGCTCTCTTATTTTTTGTGCATATTATTATCTCTGCAGGTCTATCTAGATAAGAGAGGTGGGATAAACAATCTGGAGGAGAAAACAGTGGGACTGACAGTTGGGGTGGGTGGGAGGACATGGGAGAGGGAGAGGAGGAGGAAAGGAAGTAGGTGTTAACAAACCCAGGGACAAGGGTACAGGTGATCTAAAATCAATGGCTAGGAGGGTGTAGGAGGCCTGGTAGGGCTTGATCAAGGGCAATGTAACAGAGAGGAATTACTGAAACCCAAATGAAGGCTGA